CTACATACTGTGAAGCAGATAGTCCAGTTCGAGCACAATAAGACTTTTCAATTACAATTCAGATGAAGACTCTCAACGATCAATTAATCGAAATTCCCCTCATTGCACCACATTTGGGCGATATGAATACTGATCATGATGCTGTGAAGTCTCCAGCGAAAGCTGCTCATGTTAATATGATGACAGACTGTATCATTGCAAATATGCCAGCGGATGGTTTACGATCAATACTTCGAGGTCTTTTAGGAGAAAACACTTCGAATACAGCCGGTCTCACCAGACTTGCATCACAGTATCTTGCAAACACGAAGCCATCATCCATACCGGAGCTCTTCAGCACGTCTAGCGGATCACCACAACCAACTCCAGATCTTCAGCGAGTTCAGAGTCGATATAGGTGTCTGATGGGCTGTGGATGTGGATTCGAAAGTGTGGAACTTCTCACTACCGTCATACAACAAATACAAAAGTTGGAGTGGGATGATGGAACTGCAGAAGGAGAAAAGTTCTTGGATATTCTAGCAACTATCGACGGAGATATTGTACAGTCAACAACAGCTGTGCATAAACTTCTCCTCACCAGTTCAGGAATGCGTCCCATGGATGCTGAAGATTCCAGAACAATTGCTACATTACGAGAAGTACTATATGCCTGCAAAAATATCGCTATTGCTCGTGGACAAGAACTCCCTTTTGAGCGTGGGCTTTGCTGTCTCGAAAAACTGATTGAAGGAACTGGCAGCGAAATTCAACCTTCGCAAAGAAATGAGATCCGTCGGACGAAAGGTTTTCAATCATCTAAAAGTGCACTGGAGTCATTTCAATTGGGGCCGGCTGAAGTACCCAGAATGTTTATGGGACTCTGGCAATTCTCTAGTCCTGCTTGGGGGACCGCTTCTAGAACGAAGATTGATCGTCATTTTAGAAAGCACGTCGATTCTGGACTTATTGCATATGATATGGCTGATCATTATGGTGATGCCGAAGTGACATTCGTAAGTTAGGTGCCGTTAATGCAAGCTAGCCTACTCAAATATGTTAGGGACAATTTCGATCCGGACAAGAAGACTCCGAGAAAATATACTGTGCGACAAAATGGGCGGTCTTCGAACCTATCCAAGTAACAAAAGAGGTTGTAGATGCAAATATCTCAGAGCGTCTCACTGCGACAAACTCTACAAGCGTAGAATTGCTCCAGTTTCATTGGCAAGATGTATGTACACCATGGCAAGGGTTGACAGTGCATACACTGACAAATCATTTAGTACAACGATCACCAGTATGTAGAAGCGGCGCGATTGATAGAGATGCATCCCAATGTGCAGAGCTTAGGTCTCTGCAATTTTGACTCAGATCACATGTGTGAAATTCTGGAAAGCGGTGTCAAGGCAGTATCAAACCAAGTTCAGTTCTCTCTGATAGATCTGAGACCCACTTTCAAGATGGCTGAAAGTTGTAGGAAACACAACGTTAAACTACTCACTTATGGCTCGTTATGTGGCGGGTTTTTAGCTGAGAAATGGGTTGGAAAACCTGCTCCCAACCTTTTCGATGAGAACATGACACCAAGTCATCGGAAGTATTTCGAAATGATCAACATATGGGGAGGATGGATACTTTTTCAAGAATTACTAAACGTTCTGGCAAAAATTGGATCCAAGCATAAAGTTTCTGTTTCCAGTGCGGCGATCAGATGGGTGTTGGATCACGATTATGTAGGGGCTGTGATAATAGGCGCAAGAATGGGGATCAGCGAGCACATCGATGAAAACCTCAAAGCTTTGTCATTTATTCTTGACGTGGAAGATAAAGAGGCGATAGAAAGTGTATTAAATAGATCAAGAGCGAAAGATATTTTCGAAGCGATGGGAGATTGCGGAGCGGAATATAGACAGTAAAGTTCAAACTCAAAATCCAAGTAATTTGGAACTTTCATCGTTCGAGCCACTGCACTTTCGGGGTTACCGCCCAAAAAGAGAAAAGACGAAGTTTGTTTATTTGTACAAAGGTGGGGGAAGGGGGGGAAATGATTTAGCCGGCTAGGAGCTAGGTCACTGATAAGCTATCTGACTATCTTTCTATCTTCCCCGGACACTATTAGTCTGGAACAGTACATTGCATCCTGGAATCCAGATTCGTTTATATGTACTCGAGTATGCGAATGGCCTGAAAAGGCGTTTCTCCTTTTATTCAATGCCATCCATCTATACCAACAAATCGTTGGAAAACAATGTCTTCGTCGTCATCTGTAATTCCTGGCCATGCTGGTTCAAAACCAAGTAGGTAAGTTGCGTTCGAGCAGAACTTTCAGAAATCGAAAATGACAAGAAACCTGAAGTCAAATAGCATGTCTAACATGCCGGAGTGTAAAGTTAAAGTGTAAAAGCACTTCGCTCGGTGAGAAATGTGAGCGATGCGAACGAAAGTCGCTTGAATGTATATTTGAGCAGCATCGAAGAGGGAGAAAGCCCGGAACAAAGTATTCATGACATCACTGAAATACAGTAGTGCATGATTTACGTACTGATTATCTCTAGGATAAGACGAAAAGCTCAGAGGTCAAATGCACAAATTGAAGGCGGAGGAATTGCCGAGTCACTAAATCAACCTCCAACTGCGACACGTCTTCGTGGTGAGATGGAACGACAAACGTCTCCAAACGCTACACCAAGTGGTACAACAGAGACCTCTCCACCTCAAACTGCACAATCATGGGGTAGCGAAGGGCTACAACAAGTTGGAATACTAAGTAGGGAAGCACAATTTGGGAAATTTTCTCTAGAGAATATTCTTTCTGTGCCGGATGTTCTGAGACCTCACCCTCCACCGAGGCCACCAACCCCAAGTGCAGATAGCTTCAATGATCCAATCACATGTAACATGCTTAGTTTTCCTGTTGCGCTTGGGTTATTCGATAGGTAAGATTCAATGATTTGAAATCCTTATAAGAAGACAGAACTATGAGGAAAATTGCCTGTGAATCTGACAGAGAATAGTTTTATGCGTTGTCTAAATCCATTTATCTGTCAACTAGACCCTAAACTTCATACATTTGATTACGTTCGCCAACGTTCATCATTCCTCCTCACGGCAATTCTTTCAGCATCTTCTAAAGCTTTTCACCCCGCACTTCATCCCACACTCAGGTCACATACCGAAAATCTACTCGGAAGGGTATTTACCCGGGGAGCCAAATCCACAGAGATTGTTCAAGCAATACTAATCTTTACTTATTGGAAGGAACCAGCCGAGATACGCACTTGGCTACTCGTTGGTTATGCTATTCGCATGTGTATTGAGCTTGGATGGCATGAAGTAAAACCTGTGACACAAAAGCCGCGAACCTCGACCAATGAAATAAGTATCAGGGAAGCTAGAAATATTGAGAGAACATGGCTAGTATTGTTTGTGTATGACAGAAGGTTAGATTCACTCCATTCTAAACCCGACTATATTCTCTAACAGATCGAAGCTTGAGCTTACAACTCGACAAACCCTGGATGATAGACCAAAACAATCTGATATCTAAAGCAAGCGAATGGTACCAAGAAGAATACGCTGTACCTGGCGGAGATTTGCTTCTCTCAGCGTTCGTCTGTCTACGTTTAATCAGTGCCGAGTTTCTCGAGCTTTCGTCATCGACCAAATCAGATTCTCGAAACTTTCGGTCAGAAATGTTGTCTAAACTCTTAAATACCGAACTCAACACCTGGGAAAAGGATTGGTTACCCAAATTTGAAGATGGTTCGTTACATACTCTCTTGATATCTAGCCTGTCGCTAAGTTTCCTCAAGAGTTGGTCGCACCTCCTCAGCAATTCCTTGTCAGCTTCTATGGTTCACATCTCCGCCTCCTGCTCAACTCGTATACTTTGCAACAATCCCTCAAAGCTGCAAAGAAAGGATCTGCAGTGTCGAAATCAGCACTATCGCAATGTTCGTCAAGCGCAATTGGCATGTTGGAGAATATATCGAAAGTCATTGGGCCTCTCAAACAGCTCTATTTTGTGCAGGACTCTGTCCATGTGATGACTGCTTATGCCGCCATATTTCTCATTAAGGTGGGTGCATTCATTTCTTTTCAAAATGGTTTAAACGTTTCGCAACGTCTGGAATTAACCGCTGATAATGGCAGTTGCTCCTATCGCTTCCTCAGAATTTACGCTCAAATCTCGAGACTCAATCGTTACAAGCAATCCTCCTCTCGTCCGATACTTTCTCAGAACAATGTGCTACACAAATGACGGGTTGCGCAATGCAAGCACGATTCTTGAAGAATCTCGTGGGGAAATACCATAGATTGAAATCCCATGCTAGCAATCAAGTCCGAGATCACGGTGTCCATCCGCATCAACCTGACATTCCAACGTCACAAGAAAGCCTTCACAATCGAATGAACACCGATGTGGGTACAAGTTACCAGGTCCCCAGACCCCTTCAATCCCATCAGGACACTGGGGAATCGACAGACACAACTTCGATAAATGGGAGCACGCCGGATTTCAGCACGGATTTATTACATGATAAGGAAATCTGGGATGGTTTGTTGACCGATGCTGGCTTTTGGATGAGCGAAGGGAATCTTCTACCCGACAACAATCTTTCTCGTTGAGTTGCGAAAGTGCGTTGACTCGTATCTTACTTCGATTTGCGTTTAGCATTCCAGATGTCACTATCTCCATTATCGGTGTTCAAAAGTGGGGATCCTTCATATCGTGCGGGGAACCTGGAATACTGATTGTTTAGCATAGAACGCCGATTTTATTCGGTCTCTCAGTGGATTCTTGTGTTGACAGATATTGGGAACCTCGTTACTTAGTAAGGTTAGATATCAAGGCTCACCAGCTGTGGTCCCGAAGACATATTCAAATCGACTCCGTACACTTTTACCGGGAAACAAGGTTACACTCTCCGACCTGATCTTCGAATCCAAGCCTACTACCACCACTACACACACAACACCTTTGAGTGCGATCGCTACTTCGGAGCCCAAGCATAAAAATGGCGAACACATCTTCAACTCCGATTGATGATTCCTTTCAACTTTACGATCTCCGTGTTGAAGTTATCTGTCCTCCCTCCTCCAAAATTCTCTGTGGTGCCAATGAAGGGGATCATTTTACTCTCGAGGGAGAAATGTTATATTTACCACCTGGTCAAGGAATTAGCATTTACAGTTTATGTTTGTTACCTTATTTATCCCGACCAACGGATTACGCCAGAACTAACAAGCCCATAGCATCAGTTCTCCCTCTACTAGCAGCAAAGCAACGCTTCACTCATTCAAATGATTGGATGACCACAGACGGCCTGATAGCATGTCCAGATCCAAATTGTGGGAGTCAGTTGAAGATCACAAGAACGGGATTAAGGACGTTCAAGCATGGAGAAACTACGGTCGTGGGATTGGAGGGGAATGTTTAAGAAATGTAAAGTTAAAGAATGTCTTTACAGCTAAGGGCCCGTTCGGATCGTTTTTTCAAACTGTTGTCAAAATAAGAAGAGTTGAATTGTTGACTAATATATTAATCAATATTTTGTAGATCTAGTTTTGATTTTATAGGTTTATAAAATGTAGAATAATAAAATGTTAGTAAATAGAGGTTGAAGCTTTATTATAGATTTAGTAAAGTTATTATATAAATTTTTAACTTTTGTAGATTTATATTTGTTGAAATTTCATAGTAATATGTTAGTATTTGATAATTTACTTTTGTTAACAACAAAATCTAAAACAATTTTATAACATGATTTATCAGTGAGTGTCGGAACACGTGATCAACAACGTGACATTACATGTTACACTTTACCTTATATATATACGAAGTGCGTAAATAGAAGTAGTATATATATATAGATATAGTAATTCCTTCTTTATACAAAAAGGGTAGATAGAAATAAACAATCTATTTACTCATATATATTATATATACATACCTTATCAAGTCTACTTAATAGAAAGTAAATTATATTAATGAACAAGTCACTCATTTTATATACAAAATTTATTTATACATAATTATGTACTTTCTTTATATAATAATATAATTTAAAGAAATTTGAAAATATTAAAATTTAATTATATAAATATTATAAAAATTAAATTATTTATTAAAAAATTAAATTATTATAACTTAATAGTTATTATAAAAATAACTTTTTTATAATGAAAATTATAACAATTTCTACTTTTTTTAGAATATAATAAAAATATTTATAACAAAACTAGATTTATAAAAAACTAATTTTTTATTGTTATTGAAAATTCTTTTCTCTTTTTTAAAATAATGATTAATTATTAAAATAAGAATATTGAAAAAGGCTTAATTTTGATATATTTTTAAGTAATTTGTTTATTGATATAACCTGTTCACTAATAAACCACGTTAGATAATATTAGTGTTTAGTAAATGCTTATTTGAGTTACATTTGTTGTTAATATCGCCTAAAAAATCGATTCGAACGGGCCCTTAGAACCATAAGAAAATTTGGTCTTACAAAAGAAAATTTCACTTTCTGAGGTAGTTGGCCGAAGCAAGAAGTTACTAAAGAATATTCAGATAAGAAAATCTATCAATTAGCAAGAAGTAGTGATATAAACAGTCGAAGAAGCCTGTGTTTGGGCATAAATGATATAATGAGTACGAAAATGTAATCTTGTCTCTTAATCTTCACTACATGCTGGTCAACAAAACTTCATCGTCGGTGTCTTGGACGATAGGAATGCCCCAGTATGCTGGTCACTCAATATACTTCAAGTGACATCTGAGATCGACCAATTGGAAATGTTTTGCCCTCCTTCCTGAGTGCCTTATACAGGAGCATCTAGGAAGAAGCGACAAAGCATTGAGTGATTCGAGTATCCATCGTGTAGCTTGGTAATCCTTCATCAAAAATACAATTTTTGATCGAATGGTGTATCTGCTTTTATATACTAAGGGGGAAATAATGTATTTAATTGTTACCATATCATAAGTCGTGTTTGCAATTTTGCTAATCGAGGACTGTTCGTATGCCATTGAGCCATTGAGTTTTTGACGTGGCGCAATCACACTGATGTCAACCCCAATGCAGCGTACCCGAGCGTACCTGCCCGCATTCCAAGCAGTGTTTGCAACACAGTGAACATTAACGGCAATCACGATACACTAAATTCGTATTGCATTTTGTAAATAAAAGACAAGTTACAAGCTCTTCAATTTCTGTTATGGTTCTTCCATGTTCCATAAACATTATTCCAAACTGTCGAATTAACATTTCAAATCACGATGAAACGATTCGTGGAGAAGAGCATTACGAAAGCCAAGGGAAAGATCAAGAACTCTAATCAAGAAGCTACGCCGCTACAGTCCATGAGCTCTGAACAAACTGCCGAAATGACTTTAGAGCAGCAACTTCGGGAATTACATGTTGAGCAAAATTTGGAATTCGTTGAAGAGCCTCGTGATGATGACTTGGAGCGATTTCAGGCACAATTACCCCCTCTAGACCCGTCTAAACCACCTATCTCGTCATTCTTCCGAAGTGAATCATACGAGTTCAATCCGAAGAACACCGAGACTGAATCTGGAGCTCTAGCTGAGAGAACCTTTCACTACTTCTACTGCAGAGAAAAACATCAATTCCAGGGCAAAGTAGAGCACGAAAGCACTCTGGGGAAAGAAAACGATTTCGCATATGTCTTATGGCCCGTCTCGATCATGCTTCATGCAGCTGCCGATTGTCTTCCGCCTTCGAGAGTAAACCAAGTTGACTTGGTACAGCAAGAATACTGGAACAAGGACTATCATGCATTTTGTGCTTGGAAGATGTTCCTTGGAAATAAAGACATCTACTATGATGATAACGCTCACGTTGTTCAGGCTTTAGTATCGTCGTATGAAGTTACGGGACAGCTCGAGTTTCTACTTCAAGCCAAGGACATTATGGAGTGTTTTATCATGCCATTTGTAGAGAAAGAGTCGGGTGGAATTGCATGGCATCTCTCAGACAAGAAAGTTCGAGCTGCTTGCTCAGTTGGCCCAGCTGCTATATCGGCCTTGAGAATAAGAGCTCTACCGTCAACTCATGTCATTGAGACCCACGATAAAGCCGAATCTTATCTTAGGTTTGCAACAATCCTATTGACTTGGCTTCAGGTTAACTTGCAAGATCCAAAAGACAAACTCATCTGGGATCAATTGAAAATAAATGATGATGGATCCAAGGAAATCGAACGTACAAAATGGTCATACAATAGTGGATTCGCCATTCATGGTTTCACACTCTTGTACGAAGCGACCAACGATCTTAGATATTTGTCAACGGCAGTAGAAATTGCAGAAGCAGCGATGAATACCGAGGGCGCACTTTTCGATCATTGCAATCCAGATCCATCTCAAAGAATGCTTTCAGACGGATCCTTTTTCTTACATCATCTTGTGGATGGATATTTTACTCTTTCAAAGCATGCCCACACCAAGAAACTCAGAAATGAAATTGTTCGTATCGCTGAATGGGGAAAGGAATTTATGAAGGATAAGGAGGATGGCTTGTATTATCGCGGTAGCCGTCCCTACACGATTTCCTCTAAGCATTCACAACAGTTCTACAAAAGATTTGGCGTCAGAATAACAGGACAACAAAATATGCAAGAAAGGGACAAAGATGGAAATCTGTGCAAGACTATGATAGGGTGCGCAAGCTGGGCAAGAATAATCCATGCTGCGGAAATCGTTGAAGCAAGCATCGCTAAGGAGTCAGCAGGCGAAGCCACTGTAGATGAAAGCTAAGGAGTATGAAAGAAACGACTGATGCTATACATACCCGAGTTTCTTATGAGAGGAAGTATAGATTCACTCATTCAATGTATGATAAAGTAACTATACAAACATTAAAATAACAATCAAAGTTGCTGAAGTTGATGTTTCAAGTAGTCCAAATTTCAGCTTAACGTTCCAGTGCTTAAATCCAATTGGATGGCCTCTCGCTACGAGCAACGAACAATTCATTAATTCAACTCCACATGCTGCTAAGTTTCATTCAGTCGTAGTTCTGAGGTCTACAGAAGCCCCATTTGCCAGGATTTCATCGTCCGGCCATTTTGCACTTCTATCAATGTCCAACGTCAATATTTCAGGACGTTTGTAATGTCCACTAGCATCAATCCAAACTTTCACGACTCTTAACTCGTCATAATTAATCTCTGCCTTCAAGAACTTCTCTTCAGCTCCCGTATGTGGACCCGCCAAGATAGCGCAAAAAGGATGGATAACTGCACTCCATCCCCCACCCTTCTTGACAAGATCCTGCGGTCCCAAATTTTTCTCCATCCATTCCAATGTCCCATCATCGACATAATTACTCGCACAAATGACCCATACTTGTGCTGTAAATGCATGATTTTTCATTAACCCTTCGATCTGAATGTCAGCTACTGATTCGAATCCAGATACGGTGCTAATAGCTGGCCAAGCTGCGGCGTGAATCTCTTGTCGATCTTCGATCAATGCTTGACGTGCATTGTTCATCGCATTTCCCCAGCATGCAAGCCCTCCTATCCGGCCAATGCTGCTTGGCCATACCTTCAAGGTGTGTCCGCTTCCTTGTGCCCAGAGCGTGCGCTCGGAATGCGTGGGCTGTAGTTTTCTATGGACTCCGAGGAGCGTGCCATCGGTGTCGATGAATGCTTGGGAATTGAATAATGTATGACCTCCTTCCACACGCTCTGATATTCCGATCGAAACAGCTATCTTTAGTTCGGCACAGAGATGCATGATAGGCAGGAGATCACCGCCTGTTCGTCCAACGACCACACTTTCGTCCGCATATTGAGCTTGTGCGTCAACGCATTTGAGGGGTGAGTGTGTGTGAATGAAGTACTATTTTAAAAGCTCTGTGTAAGTTTGAGCACCCTAAGAAATGAGTCGAGAAGACTCACCGGATATCCAGGAACGAATGTCTCGGGAAACACTAATAATTCAATTTCTTGGTCTTTGCCCTCCTTGATTAGTTTTAAAACCTTGTCAATACTGCCTTTCTTATCCATGAAGACTGGGGCGGCATGAACCGCGGCGGCAATGACCTTCTTACCCATTTTGCCTGTGATTGCCTTCTCAAGATGTTAGGACCAAGATGGAAGAATAACGAGGTGGAGCAATATTTTGAGTCTGTAGAGTGTGTCTATACGGGCTTCCACGCAACATTCAACCCCTCTCTTGTATCTCCGCACACAGGATCACACGGCATTTATTATACCGGGAGTGCCATATCTTTGAATGGTGATGGCAGCAACGTTAGCTATGGTTAGAGATAACACGTCATACCTCCCCGCATTTCCCCTCAGCTGCCCTGCATGTAGGGTTACATCAACGAACGGGTATCATACGACTATATTACGGATCTTTTTCATCCAAAGTACTGATTCCAACTATGTACGTTCGAAGTTAAGACAGTGGAGAATGGTTGATGAGCTTATACAACACTAACTCATGTGAGGAACTAAATCAGTTCATCTGGAGATGTAACGAAACTTGAGTCGCTCCTTCAACTTTAGTATGGATGAATCTCTCCAATAGACCCGAGGTGTAGTCACAGAAACATTCATAACTTTGTGAACGGTAAACCCCCTAAATTCTGACATAAATGATTGCAATTATCAAACGAAAGGTCTGTTACGGAGAAAAAAACCTGACCATCATCCGACAGCAATTCTAATCCCACGATTATCGTCGTAGGTTTATCGTTGTCAATCTTTCAACGTAAATTTACAAATCGAAAGAATGATAATTACTAGCTAAAGCTCGAGACAATTACGAGAGCTTCCGCGGGAGAAGTCCACTCCTAAGATCTTTGCAGTCTCACGAGTGACTTATTCTGTGGGAGCTATGTAGTGGTGCAGAAAGCTCGCAAGACACAATATGTGTGTGAACGTTTTGTTAACGTGGCTTGTCTATCGATCAAAATAGATAATTGATCTTTTAAATAAGGGGAGAGTGGTCGAGGAGGATGCGGAGGGAAGTTTTAGGGTCTAGAAAAAAACGGAAAAGTGAATGGATTTACTGATCAACGAAAGAGGGGCTTCCGAGATGAAGTTATAAAGAAGAGAAGGAGGCTAATTTGGGCTAATCATATGATGCGTATTGATTATACTGCTAGTGATTTGCTAGTAGATTGGGAGACCTATATAATTAGCAAGAGCACGCAGTCCTGAGACATATGATAGTTCCACCTGTCCGAAAAGAACTTGAAAGACCGTTTACGGTACAGAAGTCAATCTTATCTAGCTATTCGGCCTGGTACTATCGCAGAGACGTGGTGTTGACAGCAAAGAGGATGATAAGTAATATGACTTTATTTTTCGTCTTGATAGCTAGGATGACATGGAAACTACTTTGTGGCCTGAACAAAGAGATTTCCCGTGAAATCATCATACTTGGACCACAATGTCTAGATGACGATCAACTTTGCTTGATTCCTTTTTAAATCTAAACACGCGAACGACCACAATCCATCGGCTTCCTGGCGAAATTGTAGGAGATGCTCTAGAAACAACTTAAGAAACTAGATCATATTCTGAGCGGGAATCACTTGACTTGTAAATTGTTCATTTGGGAGCTGCCTAAGCTTCTAGAATTGAAAGTGTTGTGAACGAATGTATTGATTAGATCATGACCAGTGGGGTGCAACTATTCATTTGCAGTAACTTAGCTAGCTGAATCTTGTAGATGATCTCATTATTGATATCTGGTTGGTGAAAAAGATCATCTTCAGCTTCGAACAGGTACCGGAAATCTTTCTGACCCCAGTGTAGGCAATAGTATTTCCCGTATTTCGTATACGGGTTAGTTTAGTGGTGTGTATTGAATTTTTTCGAAATACATAAGTATATAGTATAGAATTGAAAAAAACACGAAAAAACCAAGGAAAGATTTTCTTGGAAAAACCCATTAATCTTTATTATATTCGAATCAGGATATCATCCTCTACCCCTTCCTAAAATCACCAAATTGATACCTACCTGAGTTAAAGAGACATTGTTATTAATATCGAGAAGGAAGATCCAATATACTTATATCAAAATCATTAATATCAATACTACTAACAATAAGCTTACTATATTGAATATAATTAATAAAAAAGATTAAATTATAAATTTTAATAATAATCCAGACTTTTCAATACTCAAAGACCTCACAAAAAGGTTTCAACTATATGTTACGCCGGTCCATCCTCGGTACCGCGTCACATGACTCTTAGCACGTGATGGACCCTGCATGACAGGCATAACGGAATGTAGGTCCATACAGACCAAAGGTCCAGGACCTCTCTAGGTCCTGAACGCTCCAGTACAGTACGAAGGTCTATATAAGGGAATGGGATTTCATTACAATGTAGAGCTTCGTGCTCAAGAACAATCATTAGTTTCATTACTATAGTTACGAGAATTGCAACCAGTTACCAACCTTATTGAATTCCTACTTGAAGTCTAGTCTAAACCACCTCGAGAGATCTCTAGACACTTCCACGTGACCCTAGAGGCAGCTCCCGTAACACTATAAAGAAAAAGGTTTTTGAGCATAGGAAAATAAAGAATAAAAACTCTTTAAAAGACTCCACTTTTTTTAAGAAATATTTTACAAAAGATATATTAATATAATATTTGATATCCTATTAATATGCTTATAGCTACCCTATATAATAAAGAAAAAAACTAAACCTTCCAAAAAACATTTATAATATACTAATTCAAATATATAATATTATTATAAAATATTAATTTTAATACCAACTTATATAATAAATAACATATTACTAATTATAATTAAAAAAATAATGATTCTTCAATGTAGAGTGTATATTATTAAAGTAATAGTATCTTAACACTACCACATCTATTATTTCGATCTTATTCAACCATCTAGTCTTATAATATAGTCTTATTCTTTATATTGATAGGATAATCTAATAGGAGGAAAGGGAATGAGAGATATTAGGTTTTAAGAAGAAATTATATATCACCGACATATTATAGGAGAAGGTGGATATACGACTTATAAGTAATAGATTAGAGGTTATAATAGGATTTCTGAAGGACTTGAAGTATTAAAGGGTAAAGATAACTCTTTAAGAGGGATATAATATTATAATTAATTATAGTTTTTATAATATTTTGGAAAAAATTGAATAAAAAGAGAAGGATTATTGTAATAGAATAGAAAATGTAAAGTTTCTATAGGTATATTGAGGGATTTAATAAAGAGAAGGTTTTTGGATATAATAAATCTACAATATAGGTGACTTAAAGGACTTGAAAGAATTGCTTGAAAGGTTGCTTGTGGGTTTTAATAAAGAAGTTCGGGGGGAATAGATTTTTATTTCTTTTTTCTATTTACCTTATTTAATTAGAATTATATATAGACATATTGTATGGTCTTAGTATAGCTATATAGACTGAATCGATTATGAATTTACTACTATTATTAGTATAGAATTCAATACCACTAAAAGTATTCAATATCATTTAGTTGTTCAATACTATTAGTAATATACTGAAATACTGGAATTCAATATAAAATATACGTTCCTATTCAAATTAGGCTAGAAAAAAGGGATTCTTATTCATATTAGATAATAAAATTCCATTCCTTATATAGGAATCCCTTATTTCTAGTCTAATTTGAATAGGAATATATTGGATTCCAGTATTTCAGTATATTGCTAATATTCTTCAAACATATAAATATATACGAGAGTAATATAACCTCCTTTCTATACATACTAGCTGCGATATCAATATACTAATACGCGCCACAGTTTCACTGTAGTATACTATTGCCTACACTGTCTGACCCTTCCTTCTTCCCCTTTCAGCATTTGATCATCTTTCTTATAAGGTAGCTACGAGTTCTGTCCAAGCCAACCTGAAGAGCATTTGACTAAAAGAGGCTTTATACCATGTATTCAAGTGTATACCTGATTCGAGTCATTTTCAAAGCCGTGAGGAATCAGACACGTAGGCAAAATGTAGTTAGGTGTGCATAACAGCTAATCTATCACGCCATTAACTTGGTATATATCATCGCATAATCCCCAAATGTCGAGAGAAGCGACAGGAGATGATAACAAAACCGGCAACGAAGATGATTGTGAAAGTAAGGGTTATACTACACCATCCAAAACGCGGAGTTTTGATTTCTCACTGGAATCTACAGTGTATTCGGGAAAACTGTCTACCATTGCACTCGGAAACTTTTGCTTCTTAGGTATTCTTAATTCCTATGTTATTTTTTGGGGTCGCGCTGCTAGATACATATAGCCCGTGATGGAGCAAAGTGACTACCCGGAGGATATTACAACACCACAGGACCACAACTTTATGAATTGAAGAATAGGGTGAATATTCTCAGCAGTCTGGAATTGTTTTCGGGGGCTCAAGAACGTCTTCCACTGATCAAATGATGAATAGCAACAAGTGAATCACTCACCAATCCTGTATCTTTTAGTCCTCAGGGAGTTGAATAGGGTAAACCTCGAAGAATTAGATCGAATGAAAGCAGAGAAAGCTCAGACACCAGCGGATTCACCGATTCCATCCATTCTGACTAGGCTGCGCACAAATTATCTGTACCCGTGGATTATCTGTGGATAATCTGTTTTATAGATTATTTATTAGAGATTCTATTTGCTTTATAGATTATTTATTGAGGCTTTAAAATTATTTGTTTTGTATGAATAATTTATAGATTATTTACAAATAATTTATTTACTTATAGATAAATGAATTATTTATAGATATATGAGTTATTTATAAATAATTTGCAAATTATTTATAAATAATTTGTGGATATATAAATTCTTTATTTTTTAGTTTAAAATATGAAGCTATTTTTAGATTATTTTCCAGCCCAAAAGTGATTCAAGCTTAGATTTATATTAATTTTTATATTAATTATAAAATTATACTAATATTATAAAAGATTATAAAAGATTATAAAAGATTATAAAAGATTATAAAAGATTATAAAAGATTATGAAAGATTATGAAAGATTATGAATAGTTATACAATATACAAATAGATGGATATCTATAGATAATCTGCAGATTACCTATGGGTTACCTGTCCAGATCCTGAATTATCTACTCTGTAGACGGATTATCCGTGGATTATTTGTTGAGGCTATTATCCGCTCCGCGGATACCCGTTGCGCAGCTTAATTCTGACTGCTCCCTACCACTTACTTGTACCCACGCATCAGTGCATCAGTTCTACCATCATATCATTATAGCGGAGAATTTGTCTATGACATTATCTTATGATCAATAACGGAATAGTGGTTAAAAATCTGCGGTGAACTTTCCCAATCAGCTTGCATATTCCATTTGATATATGCCGATAGTCTACTAATCTTGTCTATCCCATCCTATTTCTATCATAAACTGACAACAAAAATATAACAAAAAATTGATTCTACTGTCAAAGATTACCTTGGTAAATTTCACAGTCTACAAATTCGCGATCAAGAACCTAAAGAGCACCACTTTCGTCGTAGTGAAACAGAAAATCCAAAGTCGAGAGCAGTCTTGCTGTGATGTGCTTTCACGGTTCGGAAACCTCTTTTATGTGTATTCCTCGAATTTTAAATTGTGAGTATGCGAAATGTTTTACAGTGAATATATGTATCGCCAAATCACTGAGATCCTCATGTTGAACATCAAGTAGATAGAAATCAGTCCGCGGCCATGCACACCTTTACTCAATCCTACCCCCATACACGAGAAGCTCCTCTACTTGTTGCGATACTAGTTGATGTAGCGCAATGACTCACTAGCGGAAGATCCATATCATGTATAGCTCTCATAGCTCTAAACTGCAAATAGAAATTCACGATCAATAAAGCAAATAAGAACTTCGATGTCTTTTCAAGATCATTATGAAGGTGATATTGGTGGTATTCGGAGCTTTAAATCTCGAGAACGGTTGATTCAATTGTAAACTGATCAAATATTAACGTAGTTTATCAGTGGGTCGGCCATATCAGTGGATCGGCCACTTTTACCTCGAATTATTATTCTATATTCAATATACATTTTCTTTATAATTAATTATAAAAATTCATTTTAAAGAAACACATATAATCTTAATTATTCAAGCTATTGAATTAAATAAAAAATTATCAATTCAAAAGGTAGCTTAGTTTTATTATATACCTCGAACTACATTGAATAATAGAATTCGAGGTAAACCTAATATAACTGAAAGTCAATCAAAAAGTTATAATTTAATTGAATTAAAAGAGAAAGTACTTATTCAATATATTCTTGATATGAATTTAAAAGGTTTTCTATTTAAACTTAAGAATATAAAAGATATAGCGAATTATATTCTCGAATTGAAGGGTACGAAATATATCGAAAAGTTTTAAGTATATCGATTTGTATAGCATCGAATCGAATTAAAGACACATTTTAATTATATTTATAACTTTCAAAAAACTTTCTATAAGGACTTTAAGCTTATTGAAGAATGGTTTCAATTAATTACAAATATATAAGCGAAATATGGTATTTTGAATAGAGATTTCTATAATTTCGATGAAACAGGCTTTATAATGGGAATTATATGCATAGCAATAATTATTACTAATACTAAGAGATGTGGTAGAAGTAAATTTATACAGCTAGGCAATCGAAAATGAACTACAGTAATAATATGTGGAAATAAAAAGGGCGAAACTATTCTGTTACGGGAGCTGCCTCTAGGGTCACGTGGAAGTGTCTAGAGATCTCTCGAGGTGGTTTAGACTAGACTTCAAGTAGGAATTCAATAAGGTTGGTAACTGGTTGCAATTCTCGTAACTATAGTAATGAAACTAATGATTGTTCTTGAGCACGAAGCTCTACATTGTAATGAAATCCCATTCCCTTATATAGACCTTCGTACTGTACTGGAGCGTTCAGGACCTAGAGAGGTCCTGGACCTTTGGTCTGTATGGACCTACATTCCGTTATGCCTGTCATGCAGGGTCCATCACGTGCTAAGAGTCATGTGACGCGGTACCGAGGATGGACCGGCGTAACATATTAACATATGAAAAAAACCTAATTATATTAAAGAGAAGTGCTCACTAAATAAAAGGCTTTTGATATATTATTTCAATAAAAGATTGATATTCAAATTCAATATAATAAACATCAAAAAGGAGGAAATTCTAATAAGGAAGTATCTTTTAATTGATATTGTAGTAAATATGAAAAGATAGGTTATAATATAAGAACCTATTAAAATAATACAATAAATTCTAGATTATTAAACTCTTAATAGTTTTAATTAATTGATTTAGTTGTTATTGAATAATATAGCTTTGGAGTGACAATTCGAGGTAAAAGTGGCCGATCCACTGATATAGCCAATCCATTGATAAACTACGTTATGTGATCTTATCCCCCTTAATAAAGATCATTTACATGTAAAACGCACAGTGACAACAAAAATTCCTGTTGTAAACTTTCATAATTCATATCATAGAAATGTTGATCTTAAACGCAAGTTACTATATCTTTGGTCAACGACCAGAAGCATAGCAATTTTGTATAACTTTCTCAGTCGTGGAGTTGTATCTTTTTCGTTGGAACCCCAGAGGTTTATGTAAGTATGTTAGTTGTGAATCACGAGAATGGATAACCGAGAAGGCCTCGTCTTCTTTCCGGCGCGCTGAGACTTGAGAGACGGCAACAGGGAGTGAATAATCCCAGAATTTGCTACTTCACTGCTGAAGAACCTGTAAGGCATGTGAGAAACAGTGATCAGGTGCGGACTAACAGATAACTTGAGGAGATCAGGCTCCAGGAATTCACCCCCTTTTTCGAAAATCACAATCACAATTACAACTCTGTTCTCCGCTTTCCCATGTGCGGTATTTTCCTGAAAATAACATAAAAGAAGTCCTTTGGCTCACTGAAGAACTCCAGATCCTACTCAAAGCTCAGGGTTACGATTTTGTATTGGCAACTACGAAGAGATTTCTGAAAAAGGCTTTAGAGGAGATTACAAATGATCGGTGTAATGTTTCAGTGTACGTGGAAAATGAGGTATATCAAATCCAAGACCTTGGAGAATGGGGTAATATAGTACCTATATCATTCGAATTCTATCATCTCATTTTCAAAATATCGTGAACAGGAATACCAACGACGAAAATCCCCAGATTTTATCCGCAATCACCAAACCCATTCTCGTTAACACCCAAAGAAAGTCAGAAACCCCCAACTCAAGTTCATCAAAACCAGATATCACCTATTCTTATCATTACTCCAAGTCGGCGAATTCTATTCGGGGTGTATCATAGATATCTATGGTGATCACTCCTCTGGGGGTAGCAGTGGATATATGTGTGTATATCGTGTCTCTAAAGAAGTAGTAAGCGAAAGCTTTTAGCAAGAGGGGATTAGAAGAAGAATGGATTTACACATAAGAAGATCAGGTACGAAAAGTTCACTTGTCAAGCCCCATTATCTGGTGACAGGTTCGAGTGCATAAGCGAGGGAACTAGGAGGACTGAGGGGAACTACAGTAAAACTTAGCTATACTGGACTGGGATATACTGGAATCTTGGATATATTGGAATAATTTCCTTATTTGAATACTTTTTATATAGTGATATCGGATTTTTGAATATATTGGAATACCGGACACTTTTTTTGTAAATCTGGTATAAATTTTGGTGGTTAATTTAATTGAATAAGTTGTATTTTGAACAAGTAAGTTTGAAAGGTTATTATTATATGATATTTACTCGAAAATATTGGGATTTAGAGCTGAAATTGGATATAAATTTTGGTTAGAAAGCTTGAGCTATCATTTTTTACATCGAAATCTTCTTTATATCGGATTTCATTGGTCGAAAATTTCAGTCCGGTATAACCAAGTTCTTCTATAGATGACATGTAACAGGAGAGTTTGTGCATTATCGACGGAGAACCGGGAGATTGTGGTCATGTATCTCGTTTCCGAAAGATATACTTCCGAACTACAGCAAGTACTAGATGGGATTTCCACCCAGGTGAGATATCGTGCTACGAAGGTAGCTAGGGTAATTTGATGGATCAAATGTTTTTTTCACATTCGTTATATCATAATCCATTGAAACACGGAGATCGCTCTTTCTCAACGCTAAAACCATCTGTTCCCGTTCATATACCATATCATCGACTGAAGAGATCACAACAACCCAAAAGCAGCCAACCCAACCACAAGCACAGGAACCCATCCCATACACCCTGTCCCCTCCTTCCACCCCAATGTCGCCGCATTTGTATTATTAATTAATAACGCTGGAGTACCCGTAACATTAACCCCTTCATCGATTCCACAAACGACCTTACAGCCTTTATTTTTCCTCTTCTCCAGATCCCTCTTGCTGCCCGCAAAATTCCCACTAGTATTAAAAGCCAATTCAATCCATTGAATTTGCAGGTACGCCTCGTCATACAAACTCATGTTTCCTGTCCATTCTCCTCCATCGCTCCACATATTTAGTATCAGACCACTTGGATCTTTTGGAACCTGATATGTAATATTCGCCACACTTTCGCCATTAACATACCATGATGTTTGCTCGGGCATCCAATCCATACGATACATATTCCAAACACTCCAATCCATACCACCATCTGGAGTTGAGGCATTGCTTGTAGCTTTGGGTTCGGCATCACCTTCTTTATTTAAGGAAGGTTGGTTTGTGTATTGGACCACATTACGAGGACCAGATGTTAGGATCTCGATGTCGGCTTCTTGGATAGGGTCAGACTCGAGATAAGTGAACATTCCCGCGCACGCTCCTTCGGAACCGATGACTCGAGCAAGGAATCGGGCCGACATATATTTGAAATTCTTTTCGTTGGAGTCGAATTCGGCAACGGATTGAAAGCCTTCGAGACGCGCTGTGCGGAGGGTAAGGTAGGTATCGTAGGAGGTATCATTATCGTTAGAGATTTCTACGAAAATAGTCTTAGTATATCGGCTGGCAGATAAAGAGGAAAGTAGTTTGAAACACACCAATGTATACATTATTCGGCGAATTAACCATCAGCACACCACTTCCACTCTCCATCGAATCACTATTATTCCAACTCTGCGTTGACCAATCATTATTCCAAGCCTGTCCTGAAAAGAATTCCGACGTTGCCAATGCACTGGATGTATCACTTTCATTCGAAATCAAATCAGGCACAGTCTGAGAAGCTGCTGCTACTGTTCGAAAATCATGAAATCGATGGTATGTGAAATATCCAGATGACGCACTATCCGTTCGAAAACATGTACAATCTTCTCCATTATCTTTCTGTGCGCGAACTTTACTGATGGTCGTAAATAACAGGACCAAAGGAATAGGCGGCAGTGAGAATATCTGCATTCTGAAGGATTCGCTGGCCGAAGCCCGGAAGAACTTATCAACGTTGTGAATGCTGTGACGTGGTATCACTGCTTGAAATGTGACAGACTAGAATAAAATATAGAAGGAAAGAAATGTTTCGAAACTGAATCAACACGAGAGGTAAATTGACCAGTTCATATGCATGTTCCAAACAAAATAAATGCTATAACAACGGAAAAGGGCAAGAAAACGATGAGGTTGACCGACCGAGTGAATAACCTACCAAGAATATTGAATCAATCATTAGAAATCAAATAACAGAAATTGAAGATACAAAAGGGAGAACAACACCCCCTGGCTTTTCTCGTATTCCAGATTTCTAGTTTGTGCATCGTCGTGCATTTCTCAGCTCGTCTTTTCTGCACGTTTGTTCTTAAAGGTTTGAGATTTTTTTGTTTGGTGGTAATGATTAGATGGAGATTAAAACCAAGGGGCCATGGCGTAATAGATGAGCCCTGTAAGTGGTCAATGACACGCTGGCCGTGGCGCAGTTGGGGGTCCCTGTCAGCGCCAAGTTAGAGGGGTTTGATCTACCGGCAGGGAAAGGATTTCAGAGCTTATTTCAGGGGAACACTCCACATTTTAAAGAATTGGTGAAATTGGAAAAATAACTCTATTATGACATCTCATCAGAATTATATCTGCCAGTTGCTGGCCAGTATATTGCCCAACGTGTCGTTTATTTCCTTTTCATTCTAGATCTGTATAAAGCGAGTAGCTTTAGCCAAGGAATAGCAATTATCGCACAGGATGTCTGTGCAAGTTCGATCTCCCCTATTCCATCGGATATCCAACTTCCTCAGAGGTCTATTTATCAACGTGTCAATTAGCTGGCAGCAAACTATTGATGAAGTTACTCATCTTTGAGAGTGGCTACGATCTGACGTGCAATTTGTATATGGCATTCAGAGTTGTTGTCCTCCATATTGCTCCGTCGTTCTCAAGAGACATGATTGTCAACAATATTGCTGGTGTTAAAAGTGCCACCTCGTATCTGACATCGACAGATCTGCTCTTTTCGCTTGGCCCCTCTACTCCTCCCAACAAGAAACCCCCACCACCATCCATCATTCCCACTATTGGAGTTCACAAATACCTTTTCCTATCAGATCTCTGTGGAAGTTAAAAGTTGCATCACAAACTTCAGTATATGCTGCTCTGAGATTCTCTCTTCAAACATATCTGGGAGTTATGTAGAGTACATTAGTACTAACATCCATGTCACATACGTTCCCAAGCATAACCGTGGTAAGTAGAATACGCCAAAACTCTCTGAGACCTGTATGAATTATTACCGTCACTCAAAGTCCATACTACCAATTTGCTTGATATGGCACGATAACTAGAACTGAACAATCATTGAAATCATCATGGATTGTGTTCTACGTTTGTGATTGACTTAGTCATAGATCTACCAGTCAACCTGTACCTCTGCCTAGATTTACGAGATCACATGTCAAAGAATTTCCCCAGTCAGAATCTGTCATATATATAGCACCTACAGGGGCTGTCAGAACAACAACCTTGTACTGAAAATGATGGAGTTCCAGGAAAATGGAGGACCCCTCGAGAAATATTCGGCTTCCATCATATCCCACTTCGTTGGTTTTGACTGATGAATCCATTGCACAAACTCTCCTATTGATGGAGGCTCAGTTTGAATATCCGGTGGTACTGGAATGAAGTAATGAGGTAGTTTTTCGTAATCAAGCATAGTCACTTCGATCATGTAAGGAGCCATTGCTCTATAGACACTCAGATAACGGCATTTATTTAGAGCTGGCAGGGGATTACGAGTTGAGTTCTCGGGACTAAAGAAGTCAGAGAGGTAATTGGTGGATCACTAGGCCTCAAAGATATGCAGCAGGGTGCGAAGACATCATCAGGCAGAGGTTGACTTTCCTTGACGAAAGGGATGCAAACAAATATTCTTATCTAACAAATTAGAACTGATGAATTTGGAGTACCCAAAGCGGGCTTTGAACCGGTATATATGCATATACATTCGTTCAATCCTCCTTCAATGATTGTCTCATCGTTCTCATATACCTTGCCTTGCAATCAAGTGATATCGGCCTTAGGGGTCGCATGAGGTAAATCGAACATTGCTATTGTGTATTTGGAGTCCCTGACGTCTTCTTAGTCTTTCTATCACAGCATTTTCGCACACGACCTGCAGTAGCTCGCTAATATCTGTCATCTGTCTTATCAGGCGTGAGAAACAGATTAATTGCTCATTTAAGCTGCAGTCCAAACTTGTAATAGGGACAAACTCTTGAATTGGATATAAGATAGTAGTTCTATGGTGCTTGTGACCACCAAAATTCTATGAGGCATTTTCTCATTTGATTTAAAACAACGATCCGATTGATATCATAGATCCCAGATTTCCTTCACTCTGGAAGAGTTTGGCTGCCCGTTACGCACATTTCTTTTAGAGACCTGGTAATTGGCAGTGGAAGTACGAATGCAGACATAAATGGGAAGGACGTTATTCCGCCCTGCCCGCTTTCCTTTGCAAACCCCCATGACATTCCCGCTTCATACATTACGAGCTATCATTATCATATGAGTGAAAAATTCAACTTGGTTTAAAACCCCTATGCTATGCAAAAATTTTCCCAAATACCATTGCAAAATGATTCTTTTGCAAGCTCTAAAACATGACTACCTCTTCCAAAGTACCACTTCATACGACCAGTCATGATTCCAAGTCTCCTCACACTTCCAACCAAAAGTATCTCTCCTATTATACCCCTGTTCCCAAAGGTGTAAAGGTTTCCGTTCATCCTCCTCGCTCAACTTTTCAGTAAATACAAATTGAGCGAACTGGTTTGGCGCTTCAGGCTCAGAGACTTGGGGACTCTTATGAAATATCGTGTCGGTTGTCTCCCCATGTGGCATCTCCCTTCACAGAATAATGGGGTATTGAGGAGTGAGAATGATTCGGGACGATAATTTAAAGCTTCTGGGGATTCTTAACTATGGGGCTGAAGAAATGAGTTAGTTCTTTTGGTGGATTTTGGCAGCTTCCGGTATCAGTGAGGGTGAGGTTTTCGCAAAAGGGCGCGAAGACATTTTCCAAAGGGATATAAATGATGTGAAGGGTCTATCTGGTTCATTGTTTGACGGTCTTGGAATGAAAGGCTTGGGTAGCTTGTGTATCATCCTTTCCCGTCGCATGTGTACGGAAGTCACTTGTATGGTATAAGGAGCATCTTGATTGGTGAATATACGGGTAAGGTTGTTGAGAGCCGTAACTGGGTTTATGATTGTGGGACTAAAAAAGTGTCTGAGTTCTCGGGGCATGGAAATAGATGGGTTGATTTGAAAACGACAAACTTTGAGCGAGGTGCAGCCGGGTTCGAATCTGGTTTGTCTGTCCTGCTCCATCATTTGATACATTTGATTGTCAAGATATCCATAAGTCATTAGACCCCTGTGATATCTACTATGGAATTTGATGTTAGTTGAACACTCAAGTTTCGCTGTAAATCTATTCAAATACTCATTATAACTGCATCTATTTCAATTGACTCCTTGAAAATGCCAGCTGGCTTTTATTACTCTCGTGATGTTTGGACACACATTTAGACCACAACCGACATTAGTCAAACAGCAGATGCTTGGTCATTTCCCTCAATTTTTCAAAAACTTATTATCAGATTCCTTTTCCATTCAGTCCTCTGAAATAATTATTCTCCGAAACATTGGCTGACACAATCACTTATCATTCAGATGTAACATCAGTATAGGCTCACGTGCAAAATATTTGCTATGACTAGTATGGAACCAGAAAGGAATGATAGTCATATCACTCTTGATATGATGTCAAGATTGCTGTTAACTATATAATCTCAGTGCCACCGTCACCAGAGCTGTGATAGGTGTTTCCCATATGATAGACATATCAAATCTCTGATTAAGAGTCCCTCGAAACCCAAAGCAACATGTCGAACCAAACCTGCCAGCACGAATGATCCGCGAGTGCGATTTTTATGTCTCTCAATTCGCTCACCCCCAAGTCCTAGAGAGCTTTAAAGATTCTATTACTATAACAAGTTTTACTTGAATCTAAATGAGTCAAGAGAGGTTTCTGGTGATAAGTTAAGAGTATTTCCTTGGATTATTGTACTTCGACTGGAACCTCAAGAGCTGGGTGGGAGTTATGAACCCCGATATTTTACCGACAATCCGGATGGAGAACCTGATGATATATCTCAATTTCGCGAATGGAAGCCGGAAGTTGATAGCGAAATAGTACCGCAGTTGCGATTGAATGGACTTACATCTTCGGAAAGGGATTGGTTGTGGGAGTGCACACAAGAACATGATGATAGAAGGTTGTATGCGGAAAAATGCACTTACAGAGTGTCTATGTACAGACGTTCAAGTAGTCCAGAGGACAGCTAGACATCCTTCAACTGATTTACAAATTGATCATACTTATTACCTCTGGTTATTTATGATTGTAGCAAACCTGCTATTCGATGCTGAAATAATGCTTGAATATCTTGATGACCTATGAACAGATCTGGTCATTCGGCAAGCAGAAAATTGCAGAAGTATACTCAAATGTACCAGTTCATAAAATAGTACTCGTAAATTCACCTAGATAGAGAAAACATCAAATCCAAATAGATTTAAGCATCCTCTACTTCCTAGATTTCAACGCTAAAGAAAAGCAAAATTAAATATCCGATTTAAAATGTTCTGTGAAAGAGCTCAACATAATGTGAACCTATTGATTATCACATCGCATGATGTATGACCCAAGATCGCCGCAGTGGAGATTTAGTAACCTTCAGTTTTTCTTGGTCGGGTTCTATTTCGTTGATGAGAAAAGTTTGGAATTTGCCGTCTACTTGGAACTCGTCGTGATGTATTGTAGAACTTGAGTCTCCTGGCATATTATAACATAGCATATACCCTATAGTAATAGATTCCGTATTTGATAAAGTATTTATCTTGTTAATACAATAGTATCTTTATTATTTTAATATTGTATTGAATTAATGGTTTCTATTTTTATTTTTATTAAGTTTTTTATTATATATAATGAAGTTTATTCTAAACAATAAGATCTTAATAAATTTCTTAGACTTTAAAGATTTTATTTAAAACTTTGAATTGAGATAATAGTTATTTAATATACAAAAAGATTTTGAATTTTAATTGTTTTTCGATTCTTTTCTTTTTAATTTTTTTCTCGAATTTATAAGAATCTTTTAAAATTATAAGGATTATATCTATCTTTATATTATGAATAGATAATAGAGTTATTTTTTCCTAATATAACAACGTAAAGTTTCAATAATTAATAATAATATATATATAGTATAGAGATTTACATTTCGAATTTATTAATATATAGACTAAAGTGTTTCAAGTATAACTCTTCACAGGGTACAATAAAAAGCATAGAGTAGAAACTTGAGGCTATTCAGAGATATATTTTATTAAGTATAATAAAACTAATTATAAGAAAAAGAGCATTGATATAAGCCAAAACTCTTATTAATATCAATTGAAATTAACTCTTCTTACTCTAGCACTCATATAAATCATACTTTCAATACTTTTTCTTAGGTTTATCATAATGCTCTATTATATTTAATATATCTATAAACTTCTTGAAAGTATTTTTTATTAATAACTTTATCAATCTATCTGTTATTATTTTATTTTTTGAAATATAGCTGATTTTGATCTTTCCTTTTTATTTGAGATTCCATATATAATAATATATAATATCAATATATTTTGATTTATTAGTTAATTGTATATTCCTAACTAAAGCTATAGCTTCTTAATTATCTCCTTTCATTTTAATAATAAATCTATTTTCTATAATAAATTTCTTATATCTCATATCTCGAAGTATTTAAGCTAACCACTAACCTTATTTCATTATAATGAATTAAACTATATATTCTAATTCAATTATTGAAATTAATATTAAATTTTATTTTCAATTTATTTAGAATACTAATTCTTCTTCTAGAAGTGTAATTGCTTCTAATATGCTTTTTCTATTAACTATATTATTAATATAATCTACATTAGAATAAATCATAAGATTCCTAACTTTTTTTAATTCAAATTGCAATTTATAGCTGATTATTATTTATAAGTATTATATAATTCTTTATAATTAATATATATAAAACTCTACTAAATTCTTTATGTATTAACTGAATTTGTTCAAATCAAAAGCTATATTAGATTTCGAATATATTATTATATATATCAATTCTTTAATCATACAGCTATATTTTGTGAAATCTATTTGTTTATCATTCTTATTTATTAATTAAAATACTTTATAGCTATTCATTAGTATTAAAATAAATTTAAAAATCTCTTTTATCAATTTATATTTGCTTAATATCTTTTATAAATATTATTTTTAATTAATATATAAAATGTTAACTTTTCTATTTTTAATAATTCTTATATTAAAAAGCTTTAAGTTTTCAATCTCCTTTAGATTCTTAATTTTAAATATAGAAGTAAGTTACTTATTAAACTATAAAATATTGTTCAGATTCTATATTACAATAAAAAGATTATTAATATATAATAATATTATAATACCCTATCTAAAGTAAATAAATAAATATGAATTAATAAAACTCTATGTAAAACCCCATTCAATAAGTTATTTCTTTATAAAATTGTTTTAATCATATATAACCTATTTCAGCCTATACAAACTTGTTACGGAGGTACCCGCACCGC